ATGCCCGATCCGCTCGGATGTGTGAGTGAGCCTTCAGCAGCTCATGAAACCGGTCTTTCGGAGCTATTCGCTCAGTCTTCATGAACAGGGGTTTGCAGGCTTACGTTGGGGCAGGGATTTCGTACGTGCCGAGCAGGATCGTCGCTTGCGCTTTGTTCCTGACAGCAAACACCTGGCAACCTGCCAAGCCCCACATTCAAGAACACGAAGCCTCTGAAGCTGTACAGAAGACAGACTACATACTATGCCAGTCTGCAGGACAACGAGCCTCGCGTCCGAGAGGGCATGCAGAAGCGGGGGAACTCAGTTGGGCTTGCGGGCTGAAGGTCCGGGGTCAAGATAGGACATGATAGGAATGCCTGTCCAGATTTTGGACTTCATTAGAATGTTTGTCTTTCTTGTTGTGAGCCGTCTGTTTATGCCGCAAGGCTGCTGTACGTTGTCGCACGAAGTCTTGTGATGCTGCCATGCAAAGTCCCACGCAATACAAAGATACAGAGACTTTAGGACTCAAACATGAGCCCCGAACCCTGCTGCAAAATAGTAGTCATGAACCCGGCAAAGCTTCTGCAACCGAGTAGAAGAGATCATGACGACGAGTGTGCATCGCGGTGCTTGAGACACTCCCGTGATGCAGCCCAGCGCTATCCGCTCTCAGGTGCCTGCAAGTCCTCGTGGAGAACCTCCAGCGCGACTTTGCCAAGCACCTGAGGAGCGCCGGGCACCTGGAGTGGAGCCCCCCTCACCAAGAAAGTTATGGGGGCACCGGAGGCTGCAGAGCTGCCCCAGGGGCCTGTGGGTTCAGTGGAGCCTGAAAATCAGCTTTCGTTTGGTTATGTTTGGTTCAACTTTAGGAATCGTTTTGATTGTGAGTAGATCATGGGGAGTGCTGCAGAGTAGTCCCTACGTGCGTTGGAGGGACAAAGAGAAAGCCCGAGGGGCCCCGCCGAAGCCCCAAGTCAGATGTTCAAACTAAAGAACTTGGGAGATGGCCTTGCTCTCTTGCCTCTTGCACACTCTGAATGTGCACCAAATGTTCAGCTGAAATTCTAGTGCCAGGTGGGCTCCAAACCTCAAAGCTCTGGAAACTGATGCATCTGAGGCCTTCCCCACGTGGCTTTGCGTCCCTTGGCCAAACACAACTGCGTGTCGCCGACGCTTTGGGGCACATGCTGTCAGCTGTCAGAAGATTCGGGTTGTTGGATTTCAGGTTTGGTGTCCAGGGCAGGGCGGCGCTGCTACTGCTGCCAGTGCTGCTGCTGTTGCCACCACCACCACAACCACCACAAAGCACATCTGCTGCTGCTACTTGTGCTGCTACTGCCACAACTTGCAGTATGCTTCAAGCGCATGCCGTATGGCACTGTTGACAGCAGATGTGGAGCATTTCGTTGCATCGCGAGTGTTGTGTTTTCATAAAAGCAGTTGCCATGGATAGTCTTAGTGCAGGCAGACAGCCTAGGCTCAAGACTTACTGAGCCTGTTTCTTGAACTCGGGAGTCTCGCCACCAAGCGTGAGCTTTCCTTTTTCCTTGTCCCGTTTGTAAATTGTTCAAAGCCTTTCGAGCGCTCCTTCGAAGGGCTCACCTAAGCCTAAAAGCCGCTGGAAACTTTGCCGGATCCTCCCCTGTCGATGGCCCGGAAACGAAGATAGAACGCTCCCAAGGCGATGTTTGCAGGGGCCCCGGGCCTGCTTTAGCCTGGTAAGACTCGCTGAGCGCGAGTCTTCTTGTTGAGGGCCTTTCGATTCGGTTTTGGGGTGTGAGGGGACCTTATCATCAATCTTGGCAAGTTACTTGTAGGAGGGTTTCGGCGTCGAGCGAGGCAATCTTTCAAGGTGTCTGCCTAGGCTTACGAGGTTTGGGCAGGGGTTGGAAGTTTAGGCACCGGGAGCCTTGGACTCCTGGACGCCCGGCGAACCCCTTTGCCCAGAAAGGCGGCACAATTGAAGCATAACTAAGCACAGATCGTGTGCATCGGCAGGCGGAAGAAATTACAACGAGTCAAGAGCCGAGTGAAAAGATGAGATCGATTCATGTGGCATTTTATTGGCCTTGCAGGATCCTCTGTCAGTGGAAGCAGGAATTCACGAGTTCGTTGTCTAATGATCGTAAGAGTTACTGTCATTTCCCTCTACCTCCGCCAACGGCCGCCATGCACGCAGCCAAATGCAAACGTTCACCGACCCCCAAACCATGCGCTTTGACTCTTCGCGTAAACGACGTAGCCACCACACAGCTCCGGCCACTGGAAGTCCTGCGAGGATTCTCACGCGGAGGCGGCACTCCGAGTGTCTGTTGTTCGAGCTCTTGCAACTTTGTTGTTACGGGCTGCATTGTCTATTCGTGATTCAAGATTGGAGGGTGGGGTTCGGAAAGGGCAGTCTGCAGGGTTGTGAGGAAGCAGCTCTGTGCCTTCCGGTTGCATTGCTTGAGGTTGGACTTATAGGTGACGATGCCAGATTTCCTTGTGCCACGCTGCGACTTGAGTGCAACGCCGTGACAGATGGACGGAACAGCTTCAAGATGCGATATAGAGCGGCCTCTTGCCTTTCTTTGATATGGAATCTTGATGCGTAGCATGTGAACAGAGGATCTGTGTCTGGTGAGGAAGGAATAGGTGTTGATCCCATGTCAACACGAGATCTTGTTATAGCCGTTTCGTGCTTGGGCCACAGGTGACCCAGGCCAGTCGTGGTGCCTTCACCGCGGCTTTCCCCACTGACGAGAAGCGTCGTGGTGTCGGGCCCCTACCTCGCCATGACCCACTGGATATTCACCGTGCAACCCACAAGCCCCTGAGTTTTCTCTGGCATTCCCAGGCCCGAGGTCGTAATGACGAGGCTCCAGCAGCATCCAGTCAGGTCTTCCGCCACTGCCAGAAAGACTGCCTGGAGCTCTTGACCTCGAACCTCAGGCACAGCGAGCAGCGGGACGCCGAGATTTCATTTTTCCCAATAGGACTTGTGTGATTTTGGGTCTTCGGAGGCCCTGAACGCTACGACCATGAAACCTGAAGCCGCCAGAGTTTGCAGCTGTTGAGCCCAGCGCCTCAAACCTTGGAGCTCTGGCTCACCTCGCTGTAAATCCACGTGACGCCTAGCGATTGCCTGACGGACACCACGCTCGGCACCGGCGGCCGGCAAGCCAGCGAAGGCATCTTGCAGTTGCGCCAAAGACCCAAACCTTCAACCCTCGAGAGAAGCGACCCCTTTTGCACATGGCAGCACCCGCCCAGGTCTCTCCACGATGAGCTGGGTCTTCCGCCCGGGACGGACCGTGACACTGCGCTCCAAAGCCCGGGCCAGAGAGTTGAGGCATGCATTTTTTTCTCGTGATCTTAGGCAGTTTCGGTCATTGAGTTCAGCAGTTAGTTGGGAGGGTTCGCGGGCTCGTAGGAATTTGGAGCGACTGTTGAGGCTTTGTGTTCGTGTGGAGGAGGAACCGGAGTTGCATCAGCTTTCTTGTGCTTGAGTGTTCGCAGTTCCACTCAAGTTCAGAAGGATATCTATCCTCTGACTAGTTGAACACATCGTGAGGCAGTTCTATCGTTGTCTCCTGAGTTGAGGACCATGACTACAACACTGAGCCTTATCCAATCACACCCAACCTCCTGAGGACAGGACCGGTATGCCCGGGTCCTGGCGGCGTCGCTGAGTGCGCTGGGCGAGCTGGTGCGCCCTTCATTTGGGCTGCGCAGTTCTGGGCCAATTCGGCCTTCGGAGGGTTTCTGAATCCACAAAGCCACCAAAACCCCCAAGCCCGAAGCGAAACCCCTGAAGCCGAAACCCTGAACGTGACACCCCAAACTCAACTTTTGGTGATGTCGGCGTTGAAGAGCAGAGGGTTCTTCGGCTCGGGAGGGTTAGGGCCGAAGACTTCTGCGTGATCTTTCGTGGGATAGTTATATTACTTGTAAGACAGGTCATAGTATTTCATGGTTTGTTCTACCTTAGATAACGAGGTAGATTTGTTACTATTTCATCTGCTTGCAACTTCAGTAGACAAAAGCATCGGACGTCTTCGTCGAGCGTTTCGAGCCTCGAGCGTTGGGAGTGATGTCTTGACGGGGCACGTGGCGATTGAGCTCTAGGTCAAATTCGCCAATATTTCTAGTGCCTGAGGCATGAGGGCCTTAAATAGGGGAACGTGTTGGTCTGACGGACTCACTGTTATGCTTGCGCTGCGGTCATTCAGTAATGCCTCCATGTTTCTCTTCTTTCAACGCATTTTGCTCTTGCTGACCGAGACAGGGTTGAGTACTGAGCATCCCGACTTGTCACTTTCATCTGCAGGCGTGCCCTACAACAAACTTGGGATAGCCTTGACCCACCGCCAGGTGCATGTTTGCAGGGCGCCATCCGAGCAAGGCACAAGCATCAGACCTGTTGCTATGTGGCTCGCTGTCAACAGTCGCAGCCGAAGCCAAAGCTGTAGCCTGGTCAGCAGCAGCAAGAGTCGCAGTAGCGACAAACCACATAAGACATCATGATGTAGGAGGACGAGAGCCCAGCAGAGATTGCACTGGAACATAGCATGCGCTTGGACGCATGAAGCGGGAGCTTCCCGGGCTCTAACATCGACAGCGGAGCTGGTGTCAGCCTGTGATTCTGAGCTAGAGTTTGCCAAATATTCCCTCGTGGCACAACCGCAGCTTTGAACAAGAACCGCCACAGCCTTAATCTCAAGCTCTCAACCTGCATCCTCAGACCTCAGAAACCAGCTTCAGCAGAAGAGAAGGCTGCAGGCATCTTCATAACTGGAGTCGCAAGCGCAGGAGGGCACATGGTCCTAAGTGGCCACATGGAAGCTGATCTGCAGCTTTAAAGTATTGCCACGGTAAAAGGTGTATGAGCTGGACGGTAAAAGTCAGAAAGTCTTTGTGTGGTTGGCTGACGACGAGGGGGAAGGTTACACGCTGCATAGCCACAGCTACATCTTAGCTCGTGCTAGTGCCTTACACGCTGAGCTTGCCGACGCCGGCCGTGGATTTACCCAGCCATGGTGTCGACGCTTGTGGAGATGGGTTTCTCCGTGTCTTGTCTGCTTTGGGTTTCGGGTTTGGACGGTTTGGGCTTCGGGTTTGTTCTCCTTTGGTCCAAGACCTTTTGGCAGATAAGGCGGGTGTTTCGTTTCAAGACTGGGATGACTTCATGATCGAGGGATCGGCAAGGAGAGAGAAATCGGACGGAAGCCCCAATCCGACCCCGGCTTCTCGAAGCCTGATGGACAAGGCCGCAGCTATGTTCTCGCAGAGGATCGTGGTGAGCGGGTTTGGTCCATGCGAATGTGCGGTTTTTCACCCACTGCAGAACAAGCACGACATGGCCCAAAGCCTGAAGCCGACAACCTGAACTCCCACAGCCAGCAATGTCTCAGGAGGTGCAGGCCAAACAGGCTCTGCTCTTGACTGAAAGCAACGTGGAAGCTGCTGCCGACACCCGGCGTTCGAATTTCTGCTTTCTCAAACGTGTATACACTGGGTTCCTGGTACTGGCTGTCTCCAGTCCGTATAAGGCTTCGATTTGTTGGGCTTCAAATGGCTTCAAGGCCTGCAGGCTTTTGCAGATTATGTCCTAAAGCTGTGGACTTCCTCAACTCTAAACCATCTGTGAATGCACCCTCTGTTGTACATGTACAGGAAGCCATGGCCATGACATGCATGTGTTAACTGTATATATTTCCCGCTGCCGTTAGGGCCCTTGAGTCATATTCAGATAGCTTCGCAGTCGGCGAAAAGATCCACCAGTTTTCTCAAACTGGCAGCGGAGCCAGGTACCTCCGGGACCTGTATCTGCGCGGATCGCAGTAGCCTGTAGCCTGTGCTCAATACCTACCATTGCATACCTCCCTCTCAATTCTTTCCCTTCGAACTTTCGCCAAGCATGTCCGTGGCCGGTCTTCGGTACAGTCGCTCCACCTACTCGAGTACTCCCCTTGAGACTCGTAGCGGGAGCTACATATATGATGGCACCCCCAGTACGTTCCACGACTGGGAGTTTAGGACCTCTATGAGGCTTAAACTGTACGAAGATGCCATCAGGAGCAAATCTAAGAAGACCGTGGAGCCAGAAGAAGAAGGCAGTGACGATGAGAGCCGCGTCGTGGAGCAGAGTCCGACTGCGGGAGCCACTGCCCCTGTACCTCCCGAGGACAGGCCCGACATAGATGCAGCCGAGGCATCTGCAGCAGCCTCTGATGGTGGATCTCGCAGGAGACCATCTGCACCGAAGTCACCTGACTCGGTCACAGAACTGCCGGTTGCCGACGAAATGTCATCCTATGCGATTAAAGCACGAACCGAAATGGTGCATAAAGTGCTGGAAGGACTTCGGGACGAAGCCTTCGAACTCGCCCGGGATATCGGTATCGAATCCCTGACTGCCCCTGGTGGCCTCCGGGATTTCATCACCAAGTTGAGGAATGTCGTCTTCCCCCGTGCGACCGAAGAAGCTCGAGAGCTCTTCCGTGCGGGCCAAAAGCAAGGTGTCCTCGCACGCCAAGGTGGCGAGTCGATGCTGTCGTACGTCAGCCGACGACGACGCTGGTGGAAACTGCTCAAAACTCTCGACGCCAGCATCGAGCTTTCCGAGCCGATGCGTGTAGAATTGCTATTGGAGCTTTCCGGTTTGACTCGGCAAGAGTGCCTTGTCATTAAGGCATGCACCACTAGCAACAGGAGCTTTGAAGCAGTTGCTGCTACCCTAGTGGAGCACTACAGCGGCGTTCACCTAAAGGAAGGTCGTTCCTTAGGTGGCGGTACCTTTCAGGACCGTCGACCGCATCACCATCCTGGTGCCCGCCGCGGGAACCCTAAGGGCTACGGTAAGAATAGGTCTAAGGGTTTTAACCGTCGCGCCTACGTCGCTGAAGACGAGACGCAGTACTACGACGACGCGCCGCCGGACGACGGCGACGATGCCGAAGAGTACGACGACACCTCGTACCCCGCCTTTGGGGACGAGCCTGAGTACGATCCTCACTCCTACCCCGCCGGGGAGGAGGAAGAGGACCCGGGCTACGAGGAATTCGAGCTCGAGGAAGAAGAGGCAACTGCCCTTAACTGCCTCGAGGAGCTTGATCCCGAGGATGCAGACAGCGGCCATGTGATCCAATTGCAGCTTGCCGCGAACGCCGCATTCGGAAAAGCGAAGGGGCGTAAGGGCAAGGGCCGCAAAGGAAAAGGGAAAGGTAAGGTAGTGCGATCACACCTTACGCTCGACGAACGTCGCGAGAAAATGAAAAACCTGAAGGCACGGTCGAAATGCCTCAGGTGTGGAGCTATTGGTCACTGGGCAGGTGACCCCGAGTGCAAATTCCCTACCTCTAAGGGAGGGAAAGGGAAACCCCGGGCCCACATAGCAATTGTGGAGCCACGACAGGACCCCGACGGGGGCCTGTACGTTCCCTCAGGGAACGATATGGACCCGAGTGGCCATATGGTGCGGGATCTAGGCGAACCCAGATCCAAGGCTGCCCCCTCACAACCATCTAGCTCAATGCAGATGGAGGGTGCCGACCGAAGATTTAATCTCGGTCAACACAAGGGCCAGACTTACGAGGAGGTATCCCGTAAGACTGAGTTCGTGCGCTGGGCCCTCGTCCAGCCGAGCCCTGCCGCGCACCTTAAGGATTTCCTCACCTGGTTTAATAGATATTATGTCATTCAGCAGGGTGTAGGAGGTCAATACTATCGCGAAACTCGTGCCTCGATAGGTATCCCTGAGGGAACCTATAACCCTCGCCCGAGGGGAAAGGGCGCGAAGAAAAAGACTCCACCGAATCCGCCCTTGGCGGAGAAGTGTAGCTCGTGCACGGAATTCTCCTACCAAGGGAGTTCCGCGAATTACGTCCGCAAGACCTGCAGGGACTGCGGCCATGTATCCCAAGAAAAACGGGAACATGTATATACCGTAGACCCCTCTGTATGCTCACATGAAGCAACAGACCATCGGGGTAGTTCGAGGATCACGTCCCGAACCTTCTGTAGAATGTGTGGCACTATCGTTGATGAAGTGCCGCAGGAGTTTCACCGAGAACGGAAAGCCGTCTCGGAACGCATCTTGGAAGCGACGGACCTCGCGCTTCCCCTGGTTCAAGCGGTTACCGCTGACGACGCGACCGTTGACCTCGACCCTGAGGCAGTGCTGCAGATCATGGGTTTGTACCAAGATCGCATCAACCAGGCCATTGCGTTGGAGGAACGGATTCACCCAACAGGGCTTCACTTGTGGCTTAAGGAAGCAATCACCATGATAGTCGGGTCTAGTCCCATAAGTCCCTCCTGGGAGTTCACCCCGACAGCAATGGTGGCCCGAGGGCGCAGCCCCGGGCGCAACAAAGGAAAGGGGAAGGCTAAGCAGCCTGTTCCAGCCGTTCCTGCTTCAGAGCCAGATCCAGCTCCAGAGCCTGAGCCAGCCTCAAATACTCCGGAGCTGTACAACATCTCGGATCCCCTGGGGACCGATTCCGTTGTGCACAGCCAGGACCCGGATCTCGATCGCGATTATCGAGAAGCTATTCTAATAGAAAGCTTCAGGGCCGATGACGATCTGTACGACCCGTTCCCGGGTGGTTCGTCGGACGACGGATCGCCAGGATCCTACAATGTTGCTGAGCTGGACGATTATATCGCCAGGCAAGCTCAAGAGGATCTTGACGCAGCCTTTGAGCAGGCGCGCCAGCAGATTCAGAATGATGCCGAATCCGACAGTGTGACGCCTCCTGCCTCAGCGTCGGCGGCTCAGAACCGTCTGCAAGTGCGACACGTTCCCGGAAGGGAGATCATGCAGCTGGACTTCCAAGCACGCCAGCGGCAGGGAACCGAACCGGTCCCTTGGTGGGAGGATCCTACAGAGCGAGACCTGGACCTCCAGAATCTCCCAAGGCATGATGCCTGGAGACGCAGACGGGAGCAGATCCTGGCAGAGGGTTTCGCCAGGAGAAGAGAACTCGACGCACAGAGGCGCGAGGAGGAATACAGAGAGGCCTGCGCTAAGGCAGGACCTGAGTACATCCGCGCCAAGTGGAAGGCGGAAGCCTCCTCGCCCACACAGGGGAATGCTCAAGCATCCTCTCCGAGGAATGCCCAGGCATCCTCGTCGTCGAGCCAAAACCAAAATATCCCTAAGACCCCTAATCCAGTCGAGCCGACCCCTAAGGAAAACCCTAAGGGTGGTTTCGTAGATAGGTCGGTTGTATGGGAGGCAGACGCAGCACAAGCCTATGTGCAAGCTGAAGAGGAGCCCCGTGATCCTTACGTCACGAGGCCTAACCGCTTCACTGGACCCTCCCGGGCCAGTGCCTCCGCCTCTCGACAGGACCTGCCCGACAGTGGCAACTCAGCTTCGACCGCGGCGCCGGCGAGGACCTATTACCGAAACCTAGGTGGCTTAAGCGGGGTAAAGGTAGAGGGATCTCACCTTCAGAGCCAAGTCAACCTGCACCGCCCAAGGCCCTCTCTAAGGCGAAGGCTAAGGGGAAGGGCGATGGAAAACCTAAGGTTTTTCCTAGGAATATTGCAGGTGCAGGATCAGCTTCTGGTAGTGATCTAGTCCGAATTGACAACCTCCCCCTAGTAGACATGTGGGACCCGTTAGAGGCCCACGTATGGGGTGCCCTCGACGAAGGTTGCAATTCCACCTGCCATAGTGCATCCTGGGGAGCACTAGCCGAGAAGAGACTTAAGGCGCTAGGCCTAAGTTTCCCCTGGGTTGATTCTAGGAAAAAGTCGTTTGCGGGTTTAGGTGCAACATCCAACACACTTCAAAAACGTCATTTGCCGTTCAGCATAGTCAAGGGAGATACAACCATTGGGGGTGTACTAGAATCTCACGAAGTAGACACCTCTGCCCGAAACCCCTTGCTGCTGAGCCTGTTTGCACAAAGCACCTTAGGGCTTATTAAGGACATGAAAACATGTACCTGCATGATCCGCAACCAAGACGGCTCATTATCACGGGTACCTCTTGGTAGGTGCCAGGAAACAGGACTACTTCTACTATGCTTAAGTACCTTTGAAGAGGACTTACCAGCCTGTGTTAGGGCACTTAGGACCCCTGAATGTAGGTCCACAGTCAGAGCTAGGCCTGCAGTGAGGGCCCTGGTTACAGAAGATTCGGAAGCATCCCTGGAGATTGGTACCCCTAGGGGACCAATCGAGGGGTTGCTTGAGGAAGGTACCCGTAAGGGACCTTCTCCAACAGCCATGGTCCTTACCTCTCCAGTACCTGATACTGAAGGACTGGTTAATGGGTGTGCGGTTGGCCCTGAATCCTTCCATTTTGACAAGGCGTACGACCACTTCGGCGACGTCGTTATCTTGACCGGTGGAGCAAGATATCAATTTGATGCTCGAGGCAAGACCCGAGTAAGGATCCACAACCGTGACGGATGGGAGGATAGCTTACCCCCATCGATTGCGAAATCCCACAAGC